CGGTCAATTATGGACTAGAAGCGCGGGTTGATTGCCGGCCCTCCAGCAAAATATCCTACATCCCGTTCCGCGACATCCATCGGCGGGAGAGGAACATCCAATGACGGTCGGTCAAGCGGAGTAACAGGAACAGATATCCCTGCAATAGCGATGTTCATCAGAGTCGAGCCACCTCCAGAGTCCTTGCATGGCGGACTTGGAAGCGGGAGTTCGATCCTGGACTTGAGGAAGAATGTGTCGATTTGCTCAATGAACATACGCAGCCGAGAAAGCGATATGCGATCAAAAGGCTCGACCGTGAAAATACATTTCAACAATTCGTTGCACTCTGCCGAGATGCGTATCGGCATCGTCTTTGCGATGGAATCGGGATCTCTGAGGTACGCTCGGAAGAGCGGATCCTCCCAGTCAGCGCTGTTCCATGGATAGTATTCAGTGACAAGGCCGACTAGGATGACCCCCACCGACCAGATGTCGTTGTATTCTGGGTAGTAGTAAGGGGTTGTGTACATTGACCCAATGCAGTCTGCAGCAAGTCAGTATCAGGCATTAAATGTGAAGCAGAAACATACCCGGTGACATGAAATGCAAGGTTCCCACCCGAAACTCATTTGAAGCGCGCTGCTTCGTCGACAAGCCGAAATCAGCCAAGAACACCCTACTCCCATCGCTGGAAGTGAGTATGTTCTCTGGCTTCAAGTCACGGTGGAAGACCCCCTTCTCATGACAAGACATTAGACCATCAATAATCTGAATCATGGTCGAACGGATCAAGTCGTCGTTGTGTCTGAACTGGCCCTTTCCGAGCCGAGTGTACACATCGTCTCCGCAGAGATCCAGAAGGATGTAGCTGTAAGGACCCTCGACGATGTGTTCATGGAGGGTAACGACGTTGCGGTGCTCAGAAACCCGCTTGTGGAGTTCGATTTCAGCGCGTTGTAGCTCCTCTTTGTACGAGCCAGGTGGAGGAGCGAACATGACCTTCACCGCGTATTGCAGTCTACAGGCCGTCTTGATATCCACGCCCTCGTATACCGCGCCAAAGGAGCCAGCACCGAGAAACTTCTTGAGATGCAGGCGACCGTGGGCGACGACAGTGTTGGTGAAGTCAGGGAGAGAGCGGGAGTGAGCAGGCATGTTGGATATGAGAGTGATTGATAGAAAGCGTAGAAAGCAGCAGTGAAAGCGATGGAAAGCAGCGAAGGCAAGTCAAACTATCAAAGTCTGACAAGGTAAGAGTAAAGAAAGATAAAGGTCGATCGAAAAGGAGCCAGTGGTTTTGTGCCACAATATTTTCACATGATATTGCTACTGGTTTTTGCCCCGATCTAGGTGAGAGGAGAAATACGCCACACTGCAAAGCAGAGGAATAAATGTGCATGTTTGAACACCCAAAGAATACCGATATTCCACAACGGGGGTTTTGACGCGTACATGGCCATCACATCGCATCTCAATAAATGCTCAAGCATGAGCTGTAGATGTAGAAGACATGGCAGCAGCCAGCAGTCGAGTAGTAGTACGCAGAAGCGGAAACACGGCAGTCAGAAAAGGCTGAGCTCGGGAACCATGCGTTATCATCGTCTATGTCGTGACAAGTCCAAGTAAATAAGGCTGGCGACAATGTCGAGTCAAGAAGCTATCCATTCACTTTCTTGCTCCTGCCCGCTTTCCGCCTCAGCCTAGCGGCCTTCCTAGCGCCCATCTAAAACAACATCCTCAACAAAAACCCCAAGATGCACATCTAAAGGACTACTCACCTTGGCCTTATCCTCCTCCAATCTCTGGCGCTCCTCCGCAGCCTTTTTGCGCTCCATCGTAACCTCCTTCCGTCTGCATCATATCAATACCATCCGAAAAAGCGAATACAGCACTATCCACATACCGCATGACCTCCTGCTTCTTCTCCTCCTTTAACTCGACCTCCAGCTTCTTAATCGACAAAGCCTTTTTGTCTTTTCCATCCTGTCCTCCCAGCTTTTCGATTTGCGGCCTGCAGATTGATGGCTCCGTCTACACTTATTAGCATGTCGGACGGAAGAGAGGGCAAAGACCAACACTGTAGCGGATTTCAACGGTTTCCATGATTTTGAAGAGACGCGGCCGTTGGATGAGCTCGCTAGAGGGATTACAGGTATTGATTCTGAGGATTCCATGTTGTCGAAGTAAGAAAGAAAAAAGTGCCTCGGAACACGGCCCGAATCACGAGCACTTCTTGTCCTTAACGTGCTCATTATGTCTGCTTTACCTCTGAATAACGCGATGCTACGCCGTTCCACGCGCCTCGTAGAGACCGTCAGCCCATTCAACTCTTCCGTTACACTCGTACAAATAAAGCAAGAGGAACCGAGACCAAGTAAACGGCCTAAAACAGAGGACTCCTCATCCTCCGACGAACTTGCAACAAAACCTAAGCCTAAACGACCAAAACCCTCATCCCAGAAGAAACAGAAACCCATACCTCAGTCACTCGCCACACCGCACCCAGCACCGGACCGATGGCGAGAGACATACGCCGCTATCAAGGACATGCGCTCGACGTTTGTCGCGCCCGTCGATACTATGGGGTGTGATCAGGCGCAGATGAAGGAATCCAACCCAAAGGTATGCCCACACGTTCTCTGTACAAGTGCTGACCAGGTGGACTATTATAGAATAGACGCTTTGCCACCCTCATCTCCCTCATGCTGTCCTCCCAAACCAAAGACGAAGTCACCGACGCCGCCGTGTCGCGCCTGCGCGAGGCAGTCGGCGGCGCGTTATCCGTGGACGCGATTATCGACGCGGAGGATTCTGTGATATCGGAGGCGATAGCCAAGGTGGGGTTCTGGAGGCGCAAGACGGTGTACGTCCAAACTCTTATGGACGGCATTATATTGACTATTGGTAGGTACATCAAACAGGCAGCACAGAAGCTACGGGACGAGTTCGACTCGGACGTGCCAAAGACAGTGGACGAGCTCTGCTCTCTTCCTGGTGTGGGACCCAAGATGGCGTTTCTGGCGCTCCAGATTGCGTGGAATTTGTACGTTCCTTACTCACTCTCAACTCGTGTTTACATCCTTTTCGCGATTAGAAACCACGGAATTGGCGTAGACGTGCACGTCCACCGCATAACGAACCGACTGGGATGGCACAGGCCTCCGACAAAGACACCAGAAGAGACACGGCTAAATCTGCAGTCATGGCTCCCGACTGAGCTCCATCCGGATATAAACCATATGCTTGTCGGATTTGGACAGGTGCGTTCATCCTTTTTATCCTTACAACCTATTTGACGCCACGGCGTAGATGATATGTCTCCCGTGCGACCGAAATGCGACGAATGCACGTTGAGCACGGCAGGGTTGTGTCCCAGCGCTCAGCTCCCGAAGCCGAAGAGTAAGAACGTATCGAAGCGCGTAGCAGGTCCAGCTATCCAAGTGTCTCTAGAGGTATCCGAGGAGTGACTACACCGCTGCTTTCCGAGTCAGGATCAGTGAATTATTTCGTTTGTATGAACCCTTTTGAGGTTGATTTGCCCTCAATTTCGTTCAAATCAAACGGGACATATTGAATCACTGAAAAACTCCTTCAAACCCGCAATCTGAACCGGTCCCCTTTGTAGACGTTGATACGGAGAAAAGTGCATTTCTCCGACAGCGGCATGTACTCGTTCAACAGTGGCGCTGCGTTCGCACAATCTGCCTCATATGGTAATACTGTCGTTTGAACGCGAGTCGACGCGCTGCATATTTCTCTACCTACACGACTAACTACTCACTGTCTTTTCTACATATGTCTAAGGTGGTCGCGAGGATCGTGTCTGCAATCTCAATTGGCCTCGTCTTTGACTTGCTGGCAGCTCCAGGATCGCCGTCTCTGTGCCGTCCTCGCGCCTCCCTGCGTTCATTATCCTTTGACTTAACCTCCAGCGGCGCATCCTGTGTCCCGCTTGATCTTAGGGAATCAGACCAATCACTGCAGCCTCCCTACGCTTCTCGTCCCTCAGCCTGCGGCATTGACCAAAATGGTGCCCTCGCTTTCGGGCCTTGCACAGAAAAATGCTCGCACCGCTGCGAATGTGGCGCAGAGTATGTCCGTCCACCCCCCCCCTCCCCACCTCTGTGCGTCAGACCACCTCACGCACTCGACATGGATATGGCCGAAAACGTGCAGACGGGGCCAGTGCGCCGGGCATCCAGCGCCCCCCGAATCAAGGCGGTGGACGGGCGGGCCATGGGTGATGAGAATGCCCGTGCGAGGCGGGATATGCGACCAGTTCGCGCTGGTACTGGAATACGCCAGCGCCGTGCCGGGCTCCCATACACAGCAATTTGGTGTTCGCGCACGACGGAAGAATTCTCCAAGTAGATCAGAGTCGCGTAGCATGAGAGGATGGCATCGGATGGCGTCGTGGTTTCCTGCGATAAAGACCTTTAGCGGATGCTGAGGCTGAGCCAAGAACGGATCGGACTTCGTGTTCTGTACCAGAATTGGTGAGATCTCCGGCGTGAATGAGGAGGAAGGGTAGGAAGAGAGTCATGAGTGTTGTGCGTGTCCGAAATGCATCCTGCCAGGCGTGTCTTCTAGGTGTGAAAGATTTGGAGAACAAAATGAGTGCGCCCGTCCCGTCCCATCACGAACGAGAAGGGTGAATCTGAAAACTGTTGCCACAACGTAGGAGGTTTAAATAAAATTCACTGCCTCTTCCAATTGCGGCAACTTTTAGTTGCACGCTCGGCAGATTTCCATAAAAAGCAGCTCCGTCCGATCTCCACCCCGCCAACGCCACGGCGCGCGTTCTCAATCAGTTAAATCGTTAACGCGGTAACACTAGTACTCATATCTCTTCTGACATTCGCAGATCCGACAAGTTATCGGGAGGCAGGTAGGTTACTTACCGAGGGCGTAGGTTTACTTGCTGCACCACGCGCAATGCATAAATAAAAGTTGTAGCATGCGGCGTGCGCCACACAAGCACAAATTTGAATCGGTGTAAAAAACGGCCCATCCATGTATCCACCGAAGGGGAGTCGAACCCCTGCCACTTGCTTACACATCGTGTACGCCAATTCACATGGAAGGCAAGCAGGATAACCGTTTCACCATCGGTGTAGTACCATGGGCTCAGGTGGAATTTGTGGCGTCCTCTTTCGTCATCGATACAGCACCTTATGAACCGGATATGAACTCGACGCGCTTACGGCGGCATCTCTCGGGCCGCTACAATTTTCAGACTCCGCCGAACGGCAAGGCAGCTCCGAGTCCTACTCCCCCATCAGCACTAGACTTAGGTCCTACCTGCGTCCCACCACGTCGACAATTCCACTCCTGCCAGCCCACGGTCCAGCTATACCACAGTCAGAGTGCGATGTAGCGATGGAACAAAAGACTCGTGCGGCATCGACGGATGAATCGGGCGCAGACGAACTGATTGATGGCGTTTCGACTCTCGAAGAGACGCACATCGAGCAATCAGAGTCCCAAAATGTTACGGGTTCTGAAGAAATATCGGAATCGCCAGCGACCGCACAAACGGACGAGGACGAGGACGATGATGTCTCGCCCACGCCCCCTGACGAGCCTGCTGTGCTGGAAAATTCCCGCGATGAATTGGGCGATGTCGATGATGCGTCTGAAGTAGGCTCTGAGGCAGAGGAGGCAAAGGCCGCTGGCGCAATCGACAGGCGTGGGTATTGCTGGCTCTCACTGTTGCCCAACGAACTCCGCCGGGCTGCGCGTAGACGCTACCCCCCATGTCTAAACCATCGTCTTGTCGGTGTTCTCCGCGATAAACTGGGTCCCGACACCCAGCTGGCGTACACCGTCGCGCATTTCGATATATTCCATTATTATCATGTGCGTCCGGGTGTCGGGACGACACTCGCGGAGCTGTACTTGTTGATGGACCACAACTCCTTTGTCGGCATCGATGTCTCCATGGCTGGTGAAGATTTGGTGGTCGAGGACCTTCAGGGCGGTGCCTCTCCGTCGGGTTCTGGTGATGAGTTGAGGCGAGGACGGTAGGGTGGCGAAAGGAAGTCGTACACCCCCTCTTATATGGATGATACAGGTGCAGGCATAGGCTATGTTGGATATGTAGACCCCCCCCCCCCCTCTTCTATGTATGATACATATCATTCCATGTAGTATACTGACACCATGGTAGTCTTCCTGGCATATGGGGGGTAATCAGTTTTTGTAAGCTCAGAAAATTTTTCAGCAAAGAGAATTTATTCTATTGAGAAAATTGCTCTTTATGAACTTATAAAATATCTTTAAAAATCGAATTTTCTGAGTTCTGAGAAAATATAATTTTCTCAGCATTTTTCCGGTCTCAGAAAATCAGTGCAGCTGGTAAGAAAATCTGATTTTCTCAGTGATACAGATTTGTCGGATCCGGTAAGCCCGCCTCGACTCTCGGTCTTACCACCATACGCTACTGCGTTCAATACGTGCTGTTCTGCCTCGCTTAGGACAGGGCAGTATTGTACAATTCGATGCAACCTCATATTTCCCTTATCATACTGCCCTAATGTTACGTGCTTTAATACACGTTCACTACAATACAAGAAAGAAATCAAAACCCGGTCGACACAATACTTACGCAGATGCCAGATATCACCGATGACTACCATAGTCAACCAAGGGGAACCACGTCCTGCTACAAAGGCTGCTGGACCTTCATCCGTGCCATCTCCTCTCGGAGGTTGGCCGACTCTGCAAGCAACTCAGCCTTTTGCTGCTCTGCATCAGCCAAACGCTTGTCGGCATTAACAATCTTTGTTATCTTTGCTGCATTTTCCTTTCCAGTCGTGAGTACACACCGAAATTGCCACAAAATGTTTACTCACATTCAGTTCATCAAGTGCGGTTTGGTACACATCGTCAAATTCGGCCATGATCACATCAACGAGGTAGCCATTGCAATATTGGATCCTTGCATCTTCCTCCCAACCGTTACCTCCCTAGGATCTGATCCCTTGAAGAATTTGAGGAATTGTTTCTTTATTTCCGGAGGGGACATGGTAACGTCAGCGTTCTCGGTGACGAGACGAGGCATAGCAGGGGTAAGACGCCCCATCTTGTTGATAGCAGGACCGCGTGCCGTAGCAATTGGCTCTCCGTGCTGTCTCTCACAGAGGCGGCGAAGACAGACAAAGAAGCTGCGCGCCCAAAGCCAGGTCATAGTTTCCAGAAGACGGTCCAACTTCGAGCAATGTTTTGAGACCAGTTGGCAGAGAACAGCAAAGTGGAGGATATTCAGATGGACAGTGGGTGGAACATTGAAGGATTCCATGATTCCGGTATCTTTGTGCATGTAGCCACGAGCCTCGTAGATTGACTGGAAGCTATTGATCTCGTCGAGCGCGCCGCGCGTGCCGACCTGCTTCCCTTTGAAGTGACTGCAATAACCAGATCATCAGCGTAAGCCGGGAACGGTGGACTTGGACGAACCTCATACGAGCACTCAACGTTTGAGCAGGGGCGCTCGGGTTGTATTCGACCATGCGCTCAGCCGTGTAATGTCGCACCTCGCCGTCATATTCCAGCGACACGATGTTCAGTTCGTGCAGTTCAAGTAGGCGAATCTGCTCGACACTGCGAATGCGGATGGCGAGGACATCTTGCGCGCGATTGACTTCCGTGATACCGACCTCAATGATAGCGCCCACCCAGAGGTCCGTCGACATCCTTCCGACACGCCTTGGTGTCATTATGTCGCGTATGGCAGGGTAGGGATTTTCCGCCATGGAAGCAAAATATTTGGCTGGAGGTGTGAAGTATTCGAGCAAGGAGTATAAGAATTGGAACAGCATTGTTCCAGTTGCGAGCGTGCTGGCAGTCGATGGTCAACGTTGAAGAACCTGCATCTCGTGGCACGGGATGTTGCTTAACAAGCGATCGAGTTCAGTAGGCTTTGCCTCGGAAAGAAGAACAACGTCAACACGATGAGATACGTACTGGTTACGAGAAATGTTGATACCAGTCTCAAGCCCGTATAGCTAGTCCAATACACCGCATTCAGATATGACTTGCTTGTTCAAAGTAATCACGCACCTTGTATCGCCGCGATAGCTAGATCCTCCTCCGAACAACAGGGTGTACCCGCCTGGAACTGAGAGCAGATGAAACTCAACGAACCTACCATAGGCAACTCGCCATCATGTATGGAGTATAGTTCATAGAGACGCTTATACTGTCGTAGTAGCCAGACTGTATATGCAGAGCGCGACTGTGGGGTGTTCGAGGGACATGGGAGATGTACAATAGACTGCTGTCCTTGCGTAAGTCAGCCCAGAAATCTGTGGTGGGATCCTTGAGGGTAATATGAGGTATTTCTGACGCGCGCGAAAGCAGAGGAATAAAGGCGCATGTTTGAACACCAATAGAATACCGATATTCCATAACGCGGCTTTGACGAGTACATGGCCAGCATATTCCGCATCTCATTGTGAGCAATGCAAGGGTCCATCGAGGCGCGCTTCTCATCGCCCGTAAAAAGACAAAGGGATCTAAGCACCTCGTCTGTCGTTGCATTAGACTTTGATGCACGAATCGCCCAATAACTGCTCCAGCATTAGCCGTAGATGTAGGAGACATGACAACAGCCGAGTAGGAGTACGGGGAAGCGGAAACAGAGCTGTAAATAAGGCTGAGCGTTTGCGTCCCGGAACCATGCGATACCGTCGTGACGAGTCCAAGTAAATAAGGTTGGCGACAATGTCGAGTCAAGAAGCTATCCATTCACTTTCTTGCTCCTGCCCGCTTTCCGCCTCAGCCTAGCGGCCTTCCTAGCGCCCATCTAAAACGACATTCTCAACAAAAGCCCCAAGATGCACATCTAAACGACTACTCACCTTGGCCTTATCCTCTCCAATCTCTGGCGCTCCTCCGCGGCCTTTTTGCGCTCCATCGTAACCTCCTTCCGTCTGCATCCTATCAACACCATCCGAAAAAAGCCAATACAGCACTATCCACATACCGCATCACCGCCTGCTTCTTCTCCTCCTTCAACTCGACCTCGAGCTTCTTAATCGACAAAGCCTTTTTCGTCTTTTCCATCCTGTCCTCCCAGCTTTTCGATTTGCGGCCTGCAGATTGATGACTCCGTCTAGACTTATTAGCATGTCGGACTGGAAGGAGAGGGCAAAGACCAACACTGTAGCGGATTTCAACGGTTTCCATGATTTTGAAGAGACGCGGCCGTTGGATGAGCTCGCTAGAGGGATTACGGGTATTGATTCTGAGGATTCCATGTTGTCGAAGTAACAAAGAAAAAAGTGCCTCGGAACACGGCCCGAATTCCCGAGCACTTGTTGTCCAGTTCATGTCTGCTTTACCTCCGAATAACGCGATGCTACGCCGGTCCACGCGCCTCGTAGAGACCGTCAGCCCATTCAACTCTTCCGTCACACTCGTACAAATAAAGGAAGAGTCCGACGCGGAACCGAGACCAAGTAAACGACCTAAAACAGAGGACTCCGACGACGACCAACTTGCGACCAACCCTACGCCTAAACGACCAAAAGCCTCATCCCCGAAGAAACATCCCATACCGCAATCACTCGCCACGCCGCACCCAGCACCGGACCGATGGCGAGAGACGTACGCCGCTATCAAGGAGATGCGCTCTACGTTTGTCGCGCCCGTCGATACTATGGGATGTGATCAGGCGCAGATGAGGGAGTCTAATCCAAAGGTATACATACTCAATGTCCCCACACTGTCTGCGCAAGTGCTGACAAGGTGACGTAGAATAGACGCTTCGCCACCCTCGTATCCCTCATGCTGTCCTCCAAACCAAAGACGAAGTCACCGACGCCGCCGTGTCGCGCCTGCGCGAGGCAGTGGGCGGCGCGTTATCCGTGGACGCGATTATTGGAGCGGAGGATTCTGTGATATCAGACGCGATAGCCAAGGTGGGATTTTGGAGGCGGAAGACGGTGTACGTCCAAACTTGTATGGATGACATTATATTGACTATTGTAGGTACATCAAACAGGCAGCACAAAAGCTAAAGGACGACTTCGACTCGGACGTGCCAAAGACTGTGGACGAGCTATGCTCCCTTCCTGGCGTTGGACCGAAGATGGCGTTTCTAGCGCTCCAGA